CGCCCGCCCGCGGGGCCCCCCCCCCCCCCCCCAGTTCACCTCCCTTTCATGATGGTCGAAAAGAGCAGAACGAGCATCATCTCTGTTTCATGTTTGTCTCCTCTGCTTGAATGTTTTTTTTTTAAGCTCAGTATGATCCCCACCCCCATCACCCCCACCCAACCTCCGAACAGCTCCTGCTGCGATTTTTTTTTCTTTTTTCCCAACCCTCGGGTTCCCCCTTGGTCCCCCCCCCCCCCTCCCCCACCACCACCACCCTGTGCAGCCTGTGTCCGTCCAGACGGTCCAGTTCTGGGCTCGGACTCGGGAGCGTGAACCGAAAACAAAGACGCATTTGGGTTCGGAGCAGAGGAGGTCACTGCACGGGAGTCTGTCCTCCGTGGTGAGGGGGGGTGTCCCCGTACATGTCCTCTCCTCCTCCCGCCATCTGCCCCCCGACGGGCGTCATCCTCTTCTCCTTCTGCCGCCGGTTACAGAACCAGACCCGGACCACCTCCTTCTCCAGCTGCAGGCTGTCCGCCAGCGAGTTGATCTCCGCCGCTCCGGGTTTTGGACACTTGAGGAAATGGCTCTCCAGAGCCCCCTTCACGCCCACCTCGATGGAGGTCCTCTTTTTCCTCTTCCTGCCCTGCGCCGCGATCTTATCCAGGCTGGTGGGGCTCCCCGAGGTGGAGTCCGCCTCCTCCAGCCACTTGTTCAGCAGCGGCTTGAGCTTGCACATGTTCTTGAAGCTGAGCTGCAGCGCCTCGAACCTGCAGATGGTGGTCTGCGAGAACACGTTCCCGTACAGGGTCCCGAGGGCCAGGCCCACGTCCGCCTGCGTGAAGCCCAGCTTGATGCGCCTCTGCTTGAACTGCTTGGCGAACTGCTCCAACTCGTCCGAGGTCGGCGTGTCCTCGTCCGACTGGTCCTGCTGGCCCCCGTGCTGCTGCTGCTGCTGGTGGTGGTGGTGGGAGATGGACTGCTGGTGGGCCCCGTGCTCGCTGAGGTGCGGGCTGTGGCTGTGGTGGTCCTCGTCCCGCAGGGGGTGGTGGTGCATCCCTCCTCCTGCTGCTCCTCCTCCTCCTCCTTGCTCCCCCGCCGGCATCAGGGTGAAGCCGGACTGGGAGTAGACCAGGCTCTGGCCCTCAGACGTCGCCATGGCGGTGCTGGTTCGCCATGCTCTGGCGTCGTGATGCGCCTGCTGCTGCGGGTGCGTCAGGTGGGGGTGTCGCTGCTGCTGCAGGCTGCTGGAGTTCTGCAGCTCCTCTCGGTCACTGTCATGCAGGATGGGCTTCACGTCCTGCTCTCCGAGGGGGCTGGAAGGCCACGGCGTCCCGCTGTCACCGTGAGACAGCGCCGCGATCCACTGGTGCGCGTGGCTGAGCGGATGCCCACCGCCCGCCAACGTGCCGTAGTCGTTCTGGAGCAGGCTGTGCGCGTCCCTGTACACTGCCGCCTGCTGCATGCTCCCGGAGTCCGCGTGCGGAGGCGGCGGCGGCGCGCTGCTGGGGGGGCTCAGCACGCTGTAGTGGTTGGACGCTGCGGTCGCCATCGCTCCCGGAGCCAGAGTGGCTGCCTTTGACGGGAACTCTTTTGCGCCACGGGGCAGCGAGGCGTCTCTCTCCAGCATCTCCCGGGCGCTGTGCCAAGGGGACGCAGAGGCGCGCACCTGTGGTCCGCCTCGCTCCGCTCTTTATTGGCCAAGAACTGGTTGACAGATGTGGTTACCCCTGACAGCACCCCGCTCATTGGTCACGGGAGAGCGTGCTGAGCCCCAGTCGCTCTGCCCAGCGGTCCTGCGGCGTGTTGGTGAACAAAGTGGAGTGAGGCAACTGATGTTTGAACACAGGAAAAACACGCTCCAAATAAAGCCCAGTGGTTTATCATCCCTGATCTGGGTCAGTGGGTCACGTTTCGTTTGCGTCAAGACGCTGCGTAAAAGTTTCCGGGTCTCGTGCGGGTTCCAAAAAAATTCCAGCTGTGCGCGTCAAAATCCAGCAGTTCGGCAAAGTAGTCGCTTTCGATTTGGAGCTGGATTTTGTTTTTAAAGCAAGCAGCAAACTTCCAGCCGCCTCGCTGCTCTCGGGACGATGTCCACACAGAGACAGAGACACAGAGAGCACCGCGTGCTTCCAGCTTCTGCCCCGTTGCCATGGCGAACGCGCTGAATGGAAACAACGAGGCCCACGTCACAGATGCAATTCGCTGCTTCTTTTCCAAGAGAGAGAGAGAGATTGGGGGGGGGGGGGGGGGGGATAGGGGCCGCGTGCTCCGGCCGCCGGTACAAATAATAGAGGGGGTGGAGGAGGTTGTGGAGGAGAGCGGAGAGGGCAGCTCAGGGGCCAAACAGAGAAGAGGCTGCAAGAATGGATCCTTCAGTCTGCTGTGGCCCCCCCATCCACCTGCTTGTTGGGTAAACTTTGAGATGGATTCTCCCTCAGAGGCACGCGGGGGTGGTGGTGGTGGTGGGGGGGTGTCTTTAGTTCAAACAGGCCTCGGATTTTAAACGAAATAATTCTGCTCTTCATTAAAACAAGTTTTCATTTCACTTTCCTCACTGCTGAATATGTGACTTTAGCTGTTCTGCTCCGCAGCTGAATTTAGCTGTTACTTCCTGCTGGACACGTGTATTATGAAAATTTGATCCTCACAATAAATCAACAAAAAAACTGTCAAACCAGAATCGGATTCATTTGAGAACATTATTTTTTTAAATCATAAATCAGTTTGCATATCAAATAAATACATTTCTAAACAATGACATTGTCTTCGTGTTAACTGATTAATTACTTACAACACGTTTAGTCACGAGTCTTTGTATTTAGAGTCCTGTGCAAAAGTCTTAAGTCCCCCCCCCCCCCCCTTGTTTATTTGTATTTTGTTTTCAAGCAGCTGGTATTTCTTTTAAAGGTCCTGATACTTCGGCTGCTTGTTCCATAAACTTGTGAATTATTCAGGCAATAAAAGACTAATCTCACACGATTAACATGATGTTGAGTTGACAACTTAAAAATAATAAACAAAAAATCTAAATGGACTCTTTAACTAGGTTTTTGCTGGATTTCCTAAAAAAAAAAAAAAAAAAAAAAAGAAGAGTTTTAGATAGTTGTTTAAATGTTTTACACTTATTTAAGCACGCACCTAACAACATGCTCTCTTGGCCATATGATGAAAGAAGAATCGGTGGAGAATCACTGATCCACAATGTGACAAGAAGGTCTGGCTCTCGGGGCACAAACAATAAAAACGTGGTTTATTTATATTGAACAGCTGTTTTTAAAAGCTGCGGAACGTGAAAGTTCAGCTTTCAGCAAATCTACAGGTGTCAATCAAGTCGTGGTGCTTTCTTTATCATTGCCTGATATCTGAACTTAACATTGAGGTGACTTGAACATGTTCTTTGTGAAATCCTTCTTAATCAAGCACATGTTTAATATTAATTAAATATAAAACCAGTTCATTTTAATTTACCACTATATTTGCATCTTGATAAACAGTTGTCAATCACATAGATACATAAAAAAAACAAGAGTTGTATTTATTTTTTCAACATAAAGTTAAAAGATGACGACAAAGTTGTAAACCAAAATAATAAAATCATTCATTTTGCAGCAGGACAGCTTCTTTAGTGTCCTGGACCTATGAGTTCAGGTAAATGTGAGTTTATTGGCTCATGGGCTGTAAATCAACACAACAATGAGGTGAAAGAGCTCTCAAAGAACAAAATGTTAAAACTTTAGATCTGTCAGGATCTGTGTTTTTTTGTTTTGTATTTTATCTTTTTCATTAGATTAGTTTAATTTCCTCTTTTTTTGTTTATTTTTTGTGTTTTATGATCTTTGTGGTTAGTTCTGTTTTTCTGTTTCCCTGCACCATCAGTTCATTTCCTTCAGTCCTGTTCATCAGTTTCTGCTCATCTCTCCAGCCACGCCCACTTTCACCTGTTACCTGTTGCTTGCTGTCAACCAACCTGCCTCCAGTCTCCTCATCAGTCCCAGTCCATGTAGTCTCCCAGTCCTCACGTTATCTGCAGTCTGGCATTGTGGTTTCCACATCCAGTTTGGGTCTCCCTCATGTCTCCACCTAGATATTGTTGCTGGCCTGCCAGCCTTTATTAGGGACTGTGCAGGCACTTCTTATTATTCACCTGCAGGGTTTCTTAACTTTATATCTTTATTCTTCTGTCAACTTTAATGTGGCCTGAAGAGCAATGTGTATCCCAACAACTTTTATATTAAAAAGACCGGCTCGGCACTGTGATGTGTGCTATTACTTTTATTGGCGTTTTGAGTTACCATGGCGATGCAATTTGCAAAAGAATATGCCATTTTTTCCAATACAGAACACCGGACAGAACACTTCTCAGTGTGAGGTCACATGACTTAAAGTGGAGAGCTCTCTGAAGAAAACCTAAGTCACCATTGGATTTGTTTGAAACTCACTGAAAGTAATCATCTTTAGAAGTGGTTAACGTTTGGAGCCATTTAGATCAAGATGGCTGCCACAGCTAACTCAGCAAACACAAAATTCACTATAACTCAGTCATTCTTTGAGCTATTGAGCTGCAATTTAGTATGGTCGTAGATTAGAGAGAGGGAGTTGTTATACATTCATAATCCAAAAGAAATATCCAAGATGGCTGCCTTAGCTAAAAAGGAAAAAATACTGTATGATAACTCAGGCATTTTTTTGAGCTATTCAACTGAAATTTGGTATAGTGGTAGCTGAGAGCAAACCCCAACACATAGCACTGTAAAAATCAACAATTTAAACTGGCAGCAGCCTGGCAGTCCACGTCAAAGTTTCTCCAGGAACTTTCTAGATTTCCCTTATTGTTTTCCTAATAAACCTCTATGTTTTAACACAAGCTCCATTCCTGGGTCGGACGCTTCAAAACTTAAGATCACAACGTTCATTATCAACACCCAGTATGTCTACACTCGTTACATATTCTGTGCACACTTTTATACAGTTGTCTAAAGAGTGTTTTGCACATATTAATAAGTTACTCAGTAAATCCTGCTAATGATCAAGCTGAGGTTGCGCTGACCTCCCAAACTGACGCAGAATTATTGGGACTGAAGGAACACCGGCTCATGATTGGGGTATAATTCAGAGAATCACTAAATGTGTCACCAGGGGCTTCAAGGAGCCGTGTGTTGAGACAGCCAAAACATATTACCCTAATAGACTAATATGCAAACTACTGGTTGCCCAATTACTGAACTTAATAATGCATAAACGATGCGAGTCCTGTTCTTACAAGTCGAAGGGATCGCTGTTAATTCTGCTGTAGGCCTGAGTTTGCTGTTAACGCACGCAGCTGCTTCAAACACATGGGTTCAATTCTGAGAGTTAATAATGAAGATTCTGAGAGTCAATTAACAGGAATTATGTGTCCCACCCACAGATATGGTAAAGATTTAACTTGTTTGGAGTTTAGCGGCTCTGAGTGTTTCTTTTTCGTGCAGGCTGAACTCTGTGGGTGTGATTCATGATGAAAACGCACAGAAATACATAAATAAGAATTAGAATAAAAACTATGTTAGAAAGAAGACAAGCTGCCTTTTAATCTTGATAGAAGTGCAGCTTGACTTTTATAATTTTCCAGTTCAAATAAGATAAAATAATACGAGATAGAATTTTATTGATCTCGCAGGAAATTGTTGTGCCAGAGTTTCAGATGAGGAAAAGCTCCTTCTGTTTGTTGATGCTGTAAAATCTGCCACCTGCTCTTCTGCCTGAAGCTGCTTCCCTGAGTGAACCAGAGGAGTTTCTCCAGTCCGGTGTGTGACCCAGTCATGTCCCTCCCCCTGTGGGAACCATAACACAGGGCAGCGAAGGTGGAGGAAGGGGGGGGGGGGGAGCTTCTTTTCATGCTGCTGGGCACAGGGAGATAATGACCATTCCTCCACAGCTGGCCCTCACAATCAAAGGAAGAGGGAGCTTGGAGGATTCCAGCTTTAACCAGGCCATTGTCTGGGCTAATTACGTATGAATGAACCCCCCCCCCCACACACACACACACACACATACACACACGCGCGAAAACCCCAAACAGTTCTTTAGAGAGGACACACACGGGGCACACATGAGCAGAAATATATAAACCCTGAACAAATTCAGGACTCTAATGTTAACACACATGCACTCCCATCCCCTGCAGGCTCTCATCAAAGTGTTGTGCTTCCCGTGCACACTCTCACTTGTGGCACTTGGCATTGGATCAGATCTCAGTTTGCTGCTCTCTAAAGAGTTGAGGAGGTCTTGGAGGACTTGGGTTGAATGGAAAACACAGTGAAGAGCCTTTCCCTGATGCACCCCACATAAACCCAATCTATATGCTCCCTCTGTCACCCCTCCATCCTCGGCTCCATCTGTGCTCTGAACTACTACTCAGCCTAGGTTTACAAAAACTGCTACAGCGTTAGGATAACACGAGACAAAGTTGAGCTTCTCTCAAAGCTTTTGTCTTTACGAGCACATATTAAAATTTGTTATTGCATGTCAAGCGTTTAATCAGGTTTTTTTTTTCTGTTTTGCCACATTCACTCCTCAGTGCCTGAAAGTATCCAGTCCTGTCAGGAACTCGGCTGCAGAGCTGGCAGAGAAAGGCAGCTTTAACAACATGAAGGTGTTGCATTATTTTCTTTTCTGTGGGTGAAAAGGACAAAAGCAACATCATGGTGAAATGCAAATTTTCACCGGCTGATGGTAAATGTCTGGCAGCTGTGAAGAGCTCTGCTTCA